AATCTTCTAGTCAATTTTTGTTCTGTTCTAGTTAGAATGGGTCTTTTATACATCTTTTTCATCAAACCCTTCTCATTTACTGCTTTTAGAGCCTTGTGCACTCAAGAAGAAAAGGTCTCAGATTTCTTTCTTTCTTCATATAGAGATTGGCGTTGTTATTTCCAGAAAGTTTGTTATATATCACTAGTAGAACTATTCCTCTTCACCCAATTAAAATTTTCAAACTTTTTATGGGTGGGAACACTTGTTCCTGACATCAAGATCAGCGAAATATTTGGTTGCTTAGGCAATATATGCTGAGCTCGTAATTCATCTTTCTTTCTCCTCCTTTGCCTTCGAGTTAGCTTTAGACGAGGAAGCTTTAGCATCATGCGTGTCTTGCACGGGAGGTGCATAAGACATTTTAGCATACTGGCGAACAAACACTAATGAATATTTAGCATATAATAACATATAATGAATACTTTCGATTAACACTAATCAATAATAATTGAATATTTAGCATATAATAACAACAGACTTAGGATTTAAGTTTTAGACTTCATCACTTGAAGTTTAAAGCGAATGGTGAGGGAATGATGACAAAACCCAATTAAGGTTCCATGGTTTCGTCATCCCGGGTCGTCTTGGCTCCTGATCTACTTAGTCAGATAAGGTAGTCGACCCAACTTGACAGAAAAATTCTTGTCAGCAGCCATGAGTTACGTTGTCAAAGAAATCATTATAGATTTGGGGTGGATATTTGTCTAAGAGGATAAATTTAAACCGACCTTTGTTAACAGGAGAATTTGTACCAATCAATTGTATTCTTATGATTCACAACTAAAAGTGTAGAAAGTTGTTAAAGAACATACAAATTACTGTCATTACCATAATATAATGGTGTCATTTAGCGGCAACCACCCGATTAGAGGACTCTAGTCGTAACTGCTATTTTGTGATGTCATTTGACGATAAACCATGCAGACAGAGAACTCGAGCCACATCCTTACTAGTGCACAATTGTTTTGATTGTGAATATAGAAATACACTTAATATGAAATCAACTCTCTTTGAACCAAAGTCAATTAGAAATTTGTCACTCTTGACAAACTGCTGTGGAAGGTGGATGAAATTTTGCTTTTAGCTCTTAAGTGATTGAATTTTAACTTAAGTTTTTGTTGATTTTTTTTAAAATCTTGATTTAAAAGATTGACCCCTCCAGTTGAAATCCTCAGTCAACACGACCATCATCGGGGTGTTTGAAAATTTAAAGTATTTATATTTGAAGGGGGCATTTAATTTTGTCAGTTTAAACTTCTAATGTACAAGCCCTGTCGACTCCTATCTTTATATGTAGAAGGATCGGACTGGGTGATTTGAACTTGTAAATTCTTATTTTAGAATTTGAACATTTATTAGGGTTTACTAAACTCTTCAACTCCAATACTTATGAGGAGGAGGATCTGATTAGTTGTGGGACATACAATCCTGTCCTATATATGTGGCGGCCCGATTAGCCTAGTATTTGAACATTCTATGCGTTGGTTAGAGTACATTCGAGCTTTTGATTTATGTATTTGAGCTATTTTAGCTGGAGCATTTGGTGACTTAATGCAATTTATATGATTGTAAACATGAATCAAATCAAATGGCTTAAAAGAATTCACCTTAGAAATTTTGTTTAAATATAGAGCTATTTATACTCGAATTGAATATTATCTTAAGAGTTGGTAAAGTGATGAAATCATTTACACATCTTGAAAATTGGTTGAATGATTACATACAAGTTTTCATCTTAAGCTTATTACCACCTTCTGTTCACTAGCATATGTATTGCGAATCCGATGACGAGATTTTAAAATTTCAAAAGTTTTCATATTTCAGTTATTTTTCGTCTTCTATGAGTCGAAGTCCGAAAACTTAATTTTAATGTATTTTCAGATTTACGGGCTTAAAGTTTAAAATCCAAATTTAAATATTTTAAGTTTTGAAAGTTTATATTTTAAAAGCCAAGAATTTTAAAAATTTTTAAAATCTTAAGAACCTAAATATTCAAAAGCTCATGTCTCAAATATTCCAAACCCTAACAGCTAACTTTTAAAAGCTCGTCCCAATCATTTTAAAATTCGAAATGAATCACGTTTTATTTTATTTTATGAATTCAAAGTTTCAGATTACAAGTACAAATCACCAAAACTTTTGGCAGCTACTCGGCTTCAACCTCCTTTAGGGGGCATGGGAGAATGTCAACATTCCTAGCTATCTCAGAAGACTCGCTGTCATGCGGTCGGGGAGCACTAGCAACATTTAATCTGTGATCTCAAAAAGATGCGACGGGCCTTCAAAATAACTGTAGAAAATGTTAGGTTACAAATTAACATCCCTATTTCAATATCCTCACGACGTCAACCCCTGATAGGGGGCACGGGAAAATGTCGACCTTATTAGCTATTTCAAAAGACTCGCTAGTCAGTGTTGTGAGACACTATGACCGGGGAGTAAAACATAATATTTCACCTGCAATCTCAAATGATGTGACGGGCATTCGATATATCTTTATGTTGTGCGGCTTCTGATCAAGAAGAAACGGCGAGGAATATTTTGTGTGGTTTGTTGCGACAGAGGGCGAGTGAGAGGGAAGGCGTGGGAATGAGACAAACAAAATAAATGCGAATGAGTAGGCAGAGGCTTCACCTCTGTTTGTAACTAAAGAGGAGAGTGGGGGAACATTTATCTCTTTTTGGCTTTTTCCCACAAGTGGAATGAGGTAATTAATTAAGTAATTAATTATTTTAATTAATTTAATTTAATTAATTAGATTATTTATTTATTTGTTTATTTTCTCTTGCAACTTTCTTCTTCTTCCTTTTTTTTATACTGTCAGCAGTTGTAACGAAACATTGTCTTTAAACCAAACAAAAACGATCGGACGGACATTCGATATATCTTTCTATTGTGCGGCTTCTGATCAAGAAGAAACGGCGAGGAATATCTTGTGTGGTTTGTTGCGACAGAGGGCGAGTGAGAGGGAAGGCGTGGGAATGAGACAAACAAAATAAATGCGAATGAGTAGGCAGAGGCTTCACCTTTGTTTGTAACTAAAGAGGAGAGTGGGGGAACATTTATCTCATTTTGGCCCTTTCCCACAAGTGGAATGAGGTAATTAATTAAGTAATTAATTAGTTTAATTAATTTAATTTAATTTATTAGATTATTTATTTATTTGTTTATTTTTCTCTTGTAACTTTCTTCTTCTTTCTTTTTTTTATACTGTCAACAGTTCAATGAAACATTGTCTTTAAACCAAACAAAAACGATCGGTCATTTTAAGAGGCTATGCTGACAATTCAAAAACCAAACATTTTTACATTATAATTTGGTAATGTTGATTTATAGAAGTCAAGGTTGATCATTTAATTAGTCAGATTTTGATTATTAGATTGATTTTATTTCATGTCCTCTGTCCTTTATATTTTATGTGCATTCTATAAACTTCCCATCCCTTTATGTATTATGTTTATCTTTTATACGCCACTAAAAGGGGCAGTAACTCTTCTTTGAAATCATGAAATTATTACCAATAATTCATGTGGAATCTATAATATGTCGAGGAAGATACTACTTATAATTTTGCTTTCTCAACTGTGATTTTGCTGCATTTACGTTTAGAATCTCTAGAATTCCTTATAGAAGCTTAAGTTCATTCATGTGTGCTCCAAAAACTTGTGCTCGGCTCTTCTGAAAAAGTTGTGACCGAGCTAAATTTTCAAAAGGCAAATTAGCTTTTATTTTAGATAAGACCATCTAGAATTTTTATACTCGATTTCCACGGACTTTAGAATTTGTTTTTAGATTTTTTGAAAAACTTTTCATTAAGGTTATTTGTCATGCATTAAATGTTTAGTTCATAGTAGTAGCAATTTGATTCAAGGTTGAAAATATTTACAATCTTTAACTTGCATCGGATGAGGTGAGAATGATAACAAACAGTATGAAAATCTCATGATTTTAATGTCTCGAGTTGTCATGAACCTTAACCTACTTAGTTGAATTATTCAACCAAATTTAATTGAATGATCACTATCAATAATTACGGATGATGTCGTCGAGAGGATCCTTATAGATTTGGAGTGTTTATTTGTTTAAGGGGGTAATTTTATGTCAACAATAGTTAACAAATGATCTTTTGTCGTCTCACTTGTAAACTATTATTCACCACTTAAAGAATTTAGGCCGTTGGAGAATTTACTTGTTTTGGTTGTGATTATAATTTATAAATTATAATGTCGTTTGGTGATAAACCAGCTGGTTTGAGGTTCCTAGTCATAATCTTATCATTTGTGGCGCGATTTGGTAGCGAAATCACCCACATATTTGACACATCACATTTTTATTGGCATGGGATTTTTGAGTAATCATAGAGTTACATCTGATATGAAATTGATTTTTTTAGAAGTTTAAGCTATTTTAAATCTATTACTTTTGGCAAACTGGTATGATGGATGGTTGTTGCTTTAAGCTTTAAGTGATAATATTTATTTGAATATTTTAAAAATTATAAATTTTCTTGATATTTTTGTATTTGGCACCAAAGTGATTTTCATGAGGATTTGGGTAGCATTAAAATGATAAAGATCCTCTCCGATTAAGATTTTTTATCGATGTAGCCATTCTTTATTTTCATAAGGTGAGCTTCATATTTTGTATATGATTTGAGTTTTTATATACATTGTTGCATTAACAATTTAGTCGACTTTACCTTTATATTATATAGAGAATTGTTCAATAGACTTATATTGTGAAATTGAGAGTTTGAGATTTTTTTTTTTTTTTTTTTTTGAAAATGAATTTTCTTTGAGAGAGGCATTGAAGGCCTTCATAAAAAAAATAATTTGAGTGATTCGTGATAGATAGTCTAATTCTCGGTGCATGATGATCAAATTGTCTCAATTAAAGTGTGATAAGAAAGTTAAATGGGTCACAATTTTTTGAATTTTGTTGTGTGAACATTTGCCATATGGTATTAAGCTCTTTCAACTCCAGCTTTTGGGACTTCAATGATGGGACTTGAAATGTGGGGGTTATAATGCTGCTTTATTGGCTTGGTGACTCGCTTTGGAGCATGCTTTTGAAAGGGGTTTTGCAGACACATTTTTTTGAAGTATAATCTTACATCTTTTCACAGTTGTTGCATGCTCCACAAAGTAAGGTAAGTTTGAATTCATCTTATTTTAGTTTACAGATTTTTTTTTAATTTTAATTGAAGTCTATAGCATATTTATGGAGCACATATGTAAGTAGTTAAACCCTAGTTTATGAAATAAAATAAAATTTATAGTTTTTTATTTCCTTGACTATTATTTATATATAATATTTTCTTCTGTGAACACAAAACTTATTCATTTTCTTTTATCGCGTCTTACATTGCCGAGATGTACCACCTTAAGAGTTTAAGCTACATTAATAAATTTACACGCGCATGGAAACTTATAAAAATATGTACCCATTTTTTTATTGGAAGCACTCAAAGCTAAAAATATGTATGATATGATCATTGACACGCATTGTTGATTTGCTATTCAAAATGCAACAAATTTTAAAGAACATATCAGATCACATGGATTACTGTAGTCATCAAAGCCATATTTAAATAGATTCATACATGCTAAAGGGGATAAGTATTTAGTATTTTATTATACTAATCATCTTGGAAAATGTGACTGATTGGGAAAACTGTTTCCCTCGTTTATATTGGAGGAATTTTCAGGTAGTCTTTTAGAGTCGGATGCGTTGGTTTACCAAACTTGTCGACAAGAAAAATATCTTCTAGGTCTAGTTTGTATATTTTAAAGTTCTGATCGCTTGGCCAACCTGCAACAACAATCAGTAAATTAAAAAACAGAAAATGTTTGCAACCTGTGGAGGTAAGAATATTTTAATTAATTAATTATTTATTTTGGTTAGATGACTAACTTTCCATCTCTGGGTGTTTTGTGAACAGGGCGACTTGGGCAAACTTAACTTCAGGATCTTCCAGGCTGATCCATGTTAACTGTAAGCATATCAAATTTAATCAAATTTAATTTTTCAAATTAGGCATAATTCTATGTCAAATACCATATGATAGTCGATATGAAAGAACTAAAATCATGTATATATCACCAGATTTAATTAGTTTTTTAGTATCATGTAAATGTGCTCAGCTAAATATATTTTAAGATGGTATTATCTTAAACTAGTAACCAGCTAACATGACAGCTTAAGCAGGTATGTTTATGCTCCCTGAAGTAACTCTATTTTTATTACATTGTATTTTGACAACTAGGCCCATTAGACTCAAGAAGTGTGAATTATACAAGATTATAAGCGATGGAATGACCACTCTTTGCTTAATTTCTACTTTAAATCTGTTATATTGTTCTTAAAAATTTGTTTTCCAAGCTGGTTAAGTGCACTGTACACTCAATGGTATCTTAGAAATTCTAGTATATTAGGCCAGCAATGTTTTCCAAAATCTTCTGCCAGGAGAGAAAAAAAAACAATAGACATAGAATAGCAAGCGAAATAGTTAATAGCAGCACACTATCTAAACTGTAAAATTTTATATTGTGTTAATATAATGCATACCTTTCCAGTGAGAGTTGTCCTTTTGCATCCAGGGCTTTGAATATCTCCTCCACAAGTTCCACGTGAAGCCTCACTTACAGTTAAGGCTGCTCTTGTTCCATTTATTTCATCTCTTCCTATGGGTTCCAGTTCTGCCAAATAGAAGTATGGCACCCCAAATCCATGCTTGGGTTCTCCATCACTGAACGAAACGACAGTTCTTCGTACCCAGAGAATAAGATCCATCAATAAAGGGAGAGGGAGAGATGCAAAACTTATATTTGTAATACTTAATAAGATGCAATGATCAATTAGAAATGCATTTTAATAGGAGAATGAGTTCATAGCCTTACCCAAATGGAGCTCCTCCAAGATCAGCTGAGATTGTGCTGCAGAAGGGTAAAAAAAGGAAATAAAAAAAAAGGGAATAAAAATGAAGTCTGAAAATATTAATCAAATATAATAACATTAATCGCAAGAGGAAAAATGAATGTCTCATATTTAATTTTGGAAGACACATTATTTCTTTCGATTTTAATGAAGAAAATATCCATATTATATTATATTATCTTATATTTAAGTTGAGAACCTTTCTTATCTTCTTTGGAAGGAGTAGCAATATCACACGACCACTTTTTTCATCTCACAAATTTTGAAAATAGTTCGTAGATACACATATACAACAAAAACAACAACAAAAAGTATTTATCCCACTAAGTGGGTTTGAGTACATGATTTTTTTAACATTGTCATTGTTGGGTCCTAAGCCTCGGATGCGAAAAAGTGTGAGGTGCATTAGTTGAGAGTCAGCGTAAAATTTTTCGTAAAAACCATGACAAGATACACATATACCTCAGGAGGAAATCAAGGAGAATTTTACCTAAGGACACCCCACGTACTTCGTGCCACAAGATAACGGGCTTTGACAGGTGCAAGAACGGGGGGGTCGATTACAATTTGGGCTCTCACGGTTAGTGACGATAGGAGAATAGAGAGTAGAAAGAAGAGATTTAAGCCAGCTGCTTGAATGAACAAGGCAGAGGAAGAAATCTTCTTCATTGTTCTTGCTTTCATCTATACCTTGATGGAGGCCTTGGTGTTGGTTGTGCAACTATATATAAATTAATCTTTCATTTAATAAAGTTATCACAATTCTCATTCATAATTAGTCAAAACTCTCCCAATGGGCATTTACATACATACCACCCAATTCTTATGTATTTACATATGTAAAACCTAAATTTTACTTTTTTATGTTTCTACCACTTACATCTTTCATTCCACATCAAATATACCGTTATTTTAACTATTAAAAAGTGAAATACACCTTTTCATGCTTGAATATGGTGGCATATATGTAAAAAATGAATTTTAGGAGTTAGATATGTAAATACATAAGGATTGAGTGGTGTGTATGTAAATCTTCCTTTCAGAATTAAAAAGCTCAAGCCGAAAGGAGGGATAAGAGGTTGAAGGATGCTGCCATAAGAAAGAGTCAAATCTTTGTTTTCTAGTTTTTGGGAGATAATCCAAATGACAATCGAAGAGACTTAAAGCATTACATTAATGGTAATTAACTCTATTTATTTATTTTTATATCTGAGCCATCTGTTTATACCTTTCATATAAATTAAAATTTAATTATTAGATTTTTTTCTTACGTGGTTTGACTATTCTGAGGGCTGTTCTCGGGAGATTTTTTTTAGTGTAACGAAACATTCTCTTTTCATACAGAAATGAGCAATCATTTTAAGGAGCATTTATTATATAGGGATCATATATGTGCGGATTGGGTGTATTTATGGATTTAATTACATCTTAAATATACTTAATCTGCAATACGGATGATCTGTACGTAATAATTTTTTAATTTGAAGAGGCTAAGCTGACAAATTCAATGGCTCGGAACGGTCTTCAAGTCTAATTTGTCAATTTTGATTTATGTTCTATGTTTGTTTAACTAAAGATTGTTCTTTTGATTAGCCGGCTTCTGATTATTAGATTAATTGAATCATTGACTCTGTCTATTAATAATGAACACGTAAGAAACAGAAAGGTTGAAAATATCGCCGTTAAGTCGTATGAAGGAAGCAATCATCCCAATTTTGATGGTGCCCTGTTAAAATTAAAAATGGGCATTTACATAAATACCAATCAATTCCTGTGTATTTACATACCTAAAACCTAAAACTTTATTTTTTTTGCACATTTATATCATTGAAACCTTTCATATCTTATCAAAAATGTTATTTTTTATTTTTAAAAATTGAAATACATTTTTTTTGTTGCGGCATATACATATATATATCTATATATATATGTAAAAATTGAAGTTTAAAAGTCAGGCATATACATGCATAGGAATTGAGTGGTATGTACGTAAATCGTCCTTTATAAAAAAATGAAATTTCATTTTTGGGAGCAGAACTCTATCCTGCATAAGCAAAGAACTCGAGATTTAAGCCCCATTTGGCACTACATTTTTGCTGTGGCGCGGCCAGCTGCTGTGGCTCCCGTTATTTGGATGGTGCGGCGCGGATGCGTTTAATTAAATACACCCGATAAGCCACACTGTGAACTCGCCCCTGCTTCTTTGGCATTACTTGGCATTCTTTACTCTCGTGCCCTCCCTCCTACTCGGTCTCCTCTCGCAAGTGATTTGCCTAGCGGTTTTTGTCTACTCTCTCTTTGTTTATCAGCACATCTGAATAGGATTTTTGTCGAGGTTGCTTCCTTCCTTTTTCTTTGTCCTCTCCCCCTCATATCTTCTTCATGAAATAGCTCTATTAACAACAATGCTCTATTTGTTAACAACAATGCTTTATTTGTTAAGTGATTTGCCTAGCGGTTTTTGTCTTCTTCATGAAAAAGCTGGTTTAGCATCTGTTAACAACAATGCTTTATTTGCTGTCTTTACGAATATGGATTGACAATTATCCTGACTTTAGATTTTTGAGTAAGAATTTGAAAAATGCTTGCTAGGTGGTTTAGCAATTGTTAACAACATTGTTTCGGGTGCTATGCATATTTTGTTTAGGAGGAGATTTTGATTACTTTGTGCTCTTTCTGTGGGGATTTTAGAATTTTGTGATATTTCCATAACTACCGCAATATTCATCTATAATGTTTAAGGAAATTTACAAACCAACACACGATTCTTACGTGTTACATTCATGGCTGTTGTGTGCATAATATGAAGTTTGAAGAATGATGGCAGCAATACTCGTGTGTATTTTAGTGCTTTACCATTATTTTCCTATGTTGCTTATGTTGTTATAGTATTCATTTTGATGTGGTTTTACAGACTTGAGTGTTGTGTACTAAATATTAAAGTTATTGTGTGAGATATGTAAATTCATTAGAATTGTGTTATGTATGTAAATGGTGCTTGTTGGATGATTGAATTATGTGGGATTGGTACATGCTAGTTGGATGAAATTTTGTTAACTACTGAATAATACTTTGGGAAAAAAATAATGCATAAAGTTCTAATAATAAAAAAAAGTTTTGGGATAAAAAAGAGTTTATGTTTTGTGAATTGTCTGTTTTTATTTTATAATGTTCAAACTGGATGATTGTTTTCAGGCATAAAACGTGCTAATATGAACAGTTCAGTTATAAATAACACTAATGTACCAGAACAAAATATCAATTATTCATAAACAATTGCAACACAATTGTTTTGAAACTTCAAAAAGCAAATCGACTGCCAGTTTTTTTATGGTAGTTTTCTGCAAAACTGCTGCGCAACAGTTTTTTAATAAGCTACATTTGCCCCAAACAGATGCTTACTCTCTAAAAATCTTATATTTAAAGAAGAGGTGTTACATTCTGGGTTTTTGGTGGGTTGTTAAAGAGATGATTTTTAGCCGAGTTTGGATCGGTTGAAATTAGCTCAATCGGATTGAACTCGATACACAACTTGTTGTGTCGTTTGCAAGTTAGCTCCACTCGAAATTAATTCGAGCTCAATCTGTCTCGAAATAGAAACGAGCTGATTTAAAATTGAGTTATTTAGATCCATTTTAGCTTGAAGTTGGCTCGATCAAACTCCAAATCAAAACAAGATGGCTCAAATTAATTTATTTTGATGCGTTGCATCTCAAAATTGGTTCGGAGCTCGGTATGTTCAATTTTATTTAGCATTATATATAATTTTTATAAATAAAATACACTTCAAGCAGATTCATGCATGGCTTGAAAAAACAATTGATCCAAAATCTTGGCTCATAACTCGCCTCTTCTAGTTTGATGGGATTTCGATCCGAGTTAAAATTTTGGCTTATTGATTGGGGTTACAAGCAGCCATTTCTAAACACATGCTGACTCAATTTTTCAAAGTTTGTTGTGTGAGACAACAATGCTGACTAAATTGTAAAAATGGAAGATAAATATGTATAAATGAAAAATGTCCAAGTTTCTGAGAACCATCTATTTCTCCGTCAAAAATCTATTAAAAAGAATTGACCAAAATATTATAATCTTATATCATCCATCTAATAAATATATATATATATATATCTTTCAATGATAGCGAGGGTCTTTCTTGGAACCCAAGCTTGATGCTTGTTCTGCAATATCTACTAAATTATATATCACAATGACCATACACGGATGAGCACAAACTCTTCAATATCTACTAATTTCATTGGCAACTCTCTCGTATAATCTCTCTTTTTTACTTGGCATTTTATACTTTATTCCAAAAATAAGATGGCCTTCAGTTATTTTAGAGCTTATTTGGGATCACTTTTTTTTCTTTTATTTATGTATTTTTTTTTTTTACTTACAAAAATAGGCTTAATGCTTTTTTCTTTGCTTTGCATTATTTATATGTAGGGCTGTCAAAAAAGCTCGTTGTTCGCGAACAGTTCGTGTTCGGTTCGTCAATGAGTTCGTGTTCGATTCGTTCGATAAGTAAACGAAACAAACGCGAACAAATTTTTTTCGTTCGGTTAGTTAAACGAACCAAACATGAACAGTAATGCGTTAGTTCGTGTTCGAATCGTTATTGTTTGAAATATAAAATAATATAAAATAATTATATATAAAAAATTTATTATATTTTAAAACATTAAATTTTATAAATTATAATATATAATAAAATAATAATAATAATATATTAATATACTATAGTAGTAATATACTAATATAGATATTGTATATTTATATAATATAAGTTATATAATTAATATATAATATTATTTTTATATATTAATATTAGGGATGTCAAACTGGCTCGTCGTTCGCGAACAACTCGCGTTCGGTTCATGTTCGGCTCGTTCGTTAAGAAACGAACACGAGCTTATTTCAAACAAACTAAATTTTAAACGAACCGAACACGAACACAAGCTTTGTTCGTTCGTGTTCGGCTCGTTTACACCCCTATTTATATGCATAGCATACAATTTTTTATATTTGCATTCATAGCTACACAACATTCATATTTTTAATATTACATAATAAATAGCATTTCTATCACTTTTAAATATGAAATGCATAGTTTTATATTTAAAATATCAAAATGCTATGTATGTATGTATGTAAATAAGAAAGTTTAAGTGCAAGACAAATACAAATGAGTTGTGACACGTAATTTTTTTTTTTGCTTTTAAAAAAAGTGAATTTATTTTTAAAAAGATTCAAAATATCTATTTCTTTTATCCTTCTGAAAAATAAAAGATTAAAAACTCATTTGAGATCTTTTTTATTTTATTTTACTTATATTTTAATTTGACACCATACATGTTTTAATATATTTAATTAAGATATTGTTCCTTTTGGAAATGTTAAAACCACCCAAAAAAATTTTTCAATATTTTAAAAAATATGCCTATTTATGTTTACAAACAAAAAATAAAAACATGTTAAAAATTATTAAACAAACATATTTTTAAAATAAAAAAAAAATAAAACAGATTCTAAACAAGAGCTAAAT